TGCCCTGGTCTATACTGACATCTTCAGTAGAAATTAAATATTACCACAAAGCACAACATGTTTGACATATTGAAATGTTTTGAAATATTGGGAAACACATGCAAAAGCACTTGTTACAAACTATCCAAACTAAACTAGCCAATAAAATATATGCATACTGTAGGTTAAACTAAATAACACAAATTTAAGTCTGTCAGAGTTTCATTATCAAGTTGCAAATGCATAAATTGTTAGTTTTTTTTTTTTTTCCCCCAATAGATACATGACATCAGAACTTTAAATTGAACTGTATGTGAACCGATGGCGAAGAACAGGATAACAAATCTCTTCTTAGGGCAGCACAGTGGTTCAGTTGGTAAAGCTGGTGCATCTCAGCGAGCATGTCGCCAGTTGAAATCTCTCGCAAGGGCTTTTCTGGGTGAAGTTTACATGTTCTCTCCATTCTTTCTCCATGTACTCGGTTTTCCTCCCACAGACCAACATGGTTGCATGTTAGTGTGGCAAGCTTTGGAGTATGGATGCTATTTTTATTTTATTTTAAACTTACAGCAATGCCATCTTTGTAATTTCACCTAAGAAAATAATATATACAAAAAGGCACTTTGGTTTGTTTACAAATAAGCCGGAGGCAGTATTCCAAGATACAATATAAATTTTATTAAACACTATGTAAAAATAACTAAGTAATGGAGACCATAGTGATTCTTAACAACTAATACATTAGTCAAGGCTAAGGCTTCCAGTGGTCAGACAACTAACAAAGACAAAACACAAAAGCGGTGATGCACAACACACAAGTTGAAGGGACCTGTCACCCACAGCACACAACACAATGGAACCAACACCGGACTGGACTGACACCGTCAGCCTTCACCAGGAACAAAAATATGAATATATATAATAGTTCAGAATTGCACATAAAGTATAATATGAGCCTCAAGATCACATACATACAAAACAATCAGAAATGGCCCCTGTGTTTAGGTCAGTCAATCTTCTCTCAGGTAAGACACTGCCTAACTATGCTGACTAAAGCAGGCTGTGAAAGCCCACCACGAAAGGCCCGAGCAGTGTAAGGACACCTCCTGAACCAGCCGACCCGGAGCAACAAATCAAATCAAGATGGAAAAAATGTAATAAAATAAAAACAAACAATTTAAAAATAATAATAAAAATTAAAAGCTCCATCAAAATGAGCAGAACAAAGCAGCATGGCGTCTTGCGGGACCGGTGTGACGTCTGATACACGTCTGCTGATCACATCACCCGAGGAGAGGAGGAAGTCACACTCTGCATCATTTGAATCACATGCCAATCACGCCCAGGATGAAAGGGAACAATTATGTCCCAATCTTTAGTTGACAACACCACACCGAGCACTAGACAGGTGGAATGCTGATCAGACGCAAACAGCAGCACTGCCAGGTAAACCGGAAGTCAGTAACATCAAAGAGGAAATCACGGCAAGAGAACAACACCGGCTTATATTGTTCGCCCTCTCCTGGCGATTGGGCACTTAACACTGTTGTAAGCAGCTTTGAGAGCAGGGGAAATGGTCATACTGCTACATTAGGCTGATTGGTAACTCTAAATTGTTTGTGAGTGACATAGTGAATGTTTATTTGTTTAGTTTGTCTCTATGTGGCACTCTGGTGGACTGGAGACCTGTCCAGGGTGCCCCAAACCTCTCACACAGTGATGGCTTTAAATGGGCACCAGTGACCTCTGACCTGAAATGGAAGAAATGGGTAACTATTTGGCTGGAGTTTTTTTTTTTTTTTTTTTGTTGTTCTTCTTGTTTTAATCTAAAACCAATTCAAAAGCAAACGTTTTTCATGAAATATAGTGTATTGTGAGGTTGTTGCCCCCACCCCCCCACCCTTCCTGAAAAAAAATAAAATTAAAAAAAGACAGAAATGTGTGCACAATTATGACACATTTTACAACAGAAAAACAGAGCGGGGTTGCGATTACCAAGTGACAAAAGCAGTATTTTCAGCACCAGGGACAGAGACACAAAAGCAAATCCCCTTTACTTGAACCGTGATGACAGAATAAATAAAACAATGTAGGAAAACTCAACTTGCCCAACTGAAATCAAGAGCATAACATATCCACTAAAAATCACACATGTGCAATCTGAACTAAGGACAACTAACATGGTGCAACATTTTTCTGCAAACATACAGCATGATAAGATAACAGCCAGACAATAAGACAACACTCCAACTTCTCATTAAAACAACAACTCAAGGATAACCTAAAAACTAGCAACAAGTACAAAGTAAAACCATGTCAAACTTTTATTTACAACAGGAGTTGAGCCACCGGGATGGGAAAAGATTAAAAACCTGAGCGTCTATCATTCCTCATGCATCACTAGCCAATAACATTCATCCCATCCATGCACAGATGAACTTACAGAGAGCCAAATAATATATACTGGCAAGACATGAATGATACTATCAGAACAAGAAATATGTAGCTCAATGTAACATCTGTAAATCCTTGGAAGACAAACAGCAAAAAAATCCTGATGTAAAAAAAAAAAGTGTCAAGCAGGCTGTGTGCAAAGGTGAGAACATATTTGTTTGTGTTTGACAGAAAGAACTGTCTCATTGCAGGTGATAATTTCTTAGATTTTCAGAAAACAGATCACAGTAATAAAGTAAGTTAAAGCTTATTTTGTTTTTAGAATATTAATATTGAAAAACAGTAAACTGTAGTGATTTAAACACATGACCTCATTAACATAACTAAAAAGCAATGCCAAAGTGGAAACAACTGTAAAGACAGCAAAATATATTTTACTCAGAGCCAAAGCATGTGGATAGAATATTTTCCTTTCCTTTCTGGAGCACAACAAACACTCCACCCCCCCCACCCCCCCCCTCCCCACACACACACACACACACACACACACACACCATTACAGAGCCAGAACATCAGTCGAGCACAGAGACTGCTCAGTTATTGCACAACATGTAATATCAACTTAAGCCATTCTGCTATAACCATTTTTTTTCAAGTCAGTATGTACCCAAGGAACACACACACACACAAAAAACAGAATTATGAGATTTACATAACACTGACATGGATATGTAGCACATTTTTTAGAACTATTCACATATTATTTTGCTAATGTGTTAATATTTTGAACAATTGTGTTGTATGAGTTGGCAACAAATTTGTGTAGTTAAGGAAACAAAAGTCTACTTTGCAATGTATTTTTTTAGAAATGATATGAAAAGTTATTGATATAAATTTGAGGCTTGTTTTGTTGGCTTCTAATACAAAAGCTTAACAAAAAGTAACATTATTGTTAGAAAAATGTTTTGTTTTTGTTTGTTTGTTTGTTTGTTTTTTTTCCCCAAGTTTATGTCAGTGTGTGATGACAAATGCACAAATGAAACTAATCTGTTTGTACTTAATCATGCAAAACTGATACAGTTCATAATCAAGAATGGAAACAGGATGTTTGATTCATTGTTATTTGTTGAAAAAATACTTTTTTGTCAAGTTGTACAGCATTGGCCAAATCAAAGTAAAATGTTGCAATTGAATGGAATATATGACTTAAAAAAAAAGATTATTAAATGATACGTGATCTACAGCATCCCTTGATTTTGTCAGTTAAGTAAATGTAAACTTCTTAGATGTTGTATATAACGATATAATAACATAAATAAAAAGGGACATAACTGTCTCTTGTGAGCCAGGCAAAGAGAGAGGACTAAAACAAATAGAAAACAGAGAAGGCAATTATTCTGAAACTGACTTTAGCCTGCAAAAATCTCATGCAGTTTAAATAATGACATACAACACAGTCAGAATTTGTTTTTAGCTTCTCAAATGGAACGTTATATTTATTATTTAAAAAAAAAAAAAAAAAAGGAATAAAAAAAAAAGTCTAGTTTCAGTGATATTTACAACGTTTTGGATTTCCATTGACATGGAGGACTGAGAATCTAAAGAAGCAAACTCAGTATGCTACTGCTGAAAAAAAAAAGTTAACAAGAAAAGAAGTACGAATTTAAAAAAAAGAAGGATGAAGAATATTCCTACCTCAGGAGAACTATCAGAGCTTCCAAACACATCAGCAAAC